GCCCACGGGCTGCCCAGCGCCGCCGCTGCCGCCATGGCCACCGGCACCGACAGCCCGGGACCGCGGCCCGGCCGCCAGAAAATCGTCATCAAACAGAGCGTGCCCGCCTCATAAAGATTGGGGTGTGGGATTTTGGGATTTGGGATATGGGATATTGGGATATGGGATTTGGGATCAACCGCAAATATATCACTGCCCACGGGCTGCCCAGCTCGGCCGCCAGAAAATCGTCATCAAACAGAGCGTGCCCGCCTCATAAAGATTGGGGTCTGGGATTTTGGGGTATCGGGGTTTTGGGGTGGATGGGAGCAGTGGTTTTGTTGAGGAGACCGCACCAAAAATGATACCAAGTCGTCATCAAACAGAGTGTGCCCGCATCCTAAAGGGTTGAGTGTGGGGTTTGGCATATGGGATATTGGGATATGGGATTTGGGATCAACTGCAAATACGTGACTGACCACGGGCTGCCCAGCGCCGCCGCCAGAAAATCGTCATCAAATAGAGCGTGCCCGCATCCTAAAGATTGGGGTGTGGGATTTTGGGATATCGGGATTTTGGGGTGGATGGGAGCAATGGTTTTCTTGAGGAGACCCTACCAAAAATGACACAAAATTGTCATCAAACAGAGTGTGCCCACATCCTAAAGGTTGGAGTGTGGGGTTTGGCATATGGGATACTGGGATATGGGATTTGGGATCAACCGCAAATACATCACTGCCCACGGGCTGCCCAGTGCCGCCGCCAGAAAATCGTCATCAAACAGAGCGTGCCCGCCTCATAAAGGTTGAGGTTTGAGATTTTGGGATATAGTTTTGGGGTGGATGGGAGCGATGGTTTTGTTGAGGAGACCACACCAAAAATGATACCAAGTCGTCATCAAACAGAGCATGCCCAGTGCCTGAAATCCGGGATTTGGGGATATTGGGGTGTCAGAACACTGGGGTCTTGGGATTTGGCATTGTGGGATTTGGGATATTGGGGTATGGGATTTGGGATCAACCGCAAATACGTGACAACCCACGGGCTGCCCAGCACCGCCGCCACCGCCATGGCCACCGGCACCGACAGCCCGGGACCGCAGCCCAGCCGCCAGAAAATCGTCATCAAACAGAGCGTGCCCAGTGCCTGAAATCCGGGATTTTGGGATATTGGGGTGTCAGGAAACTGGGATCTTGGGATTTGGGATATTGGGATATGGGATTTGGGATCAACCGCAAATATGTGACAGCCCACGGGCTGCCCAGCGCCGCCGCCGCCGCCATGGCCACAGGCACCGACAGCCCGGGACCGCGGCCCGGCCGCCAGAAAATCGTCATCAAACAGAGCGTGCCCGTCTCATAAAGGTTGGGATTTGGGGTTTGGGATATGGGATTTGAGATATGGGATGCTGGGATCAACCGCAAATACATCACTGCCCACGGGCTGCCCAGCCCGGCCGCCAGAAAATCGTCATCAAACAGAGCGTGCCCGCCTCATAAAGGTTGGGGTTTGGGATTTGGGGTATTGGGATATGGGATTTGGGGTATTGGGATATGGGATTTGGGATNGATCCCAGAGAACTACGAGCGCCTGGAGGCCGACAAGAAGAAGCAGGTGCAGAAGAAGCGCAAGATCGTGGGCCCCGTGATCCGTTACTGGTCYCTGACCATGCCCCTGCTGCCCGAGGCCGGCCGCGACGACCCCGTGGACGTCGAGGGGTGAGTGGGATCCCCAAATCCCAAATGTTCCCCTGCCCTGGAGCTGCTCCAGGGGGTTTGGGCTGCGTCTTGGAGCCCCCAAATCCCAAAATTCCAATTTGGGGGAGAAGCGGGTTTGGGTATCATGTTTGATATCCCAAATCCTGTGGGAAAAGAAGGGTTTGGGGCCCACCTTGGAACCCTTAAATCCCATTGGTGTCGAGGTTTATGGGACCCACCTTGGACACCCTAAATCCCATGGGAAAAGTGGGTTTGGGTGCCATGTTTGACATCCCAAATCCCGTGGGAAAAGCAGGTTTTGGGCCCCAAACCCCTTGGGAGAAGCAGGTTTTGGGCCCCAAATCCCATAGGAGAAGCAGATTTTGTACCCCAAACCCCATGGAAAGAGCAGATTTTGTGCCCCAAATCCCATAGGGAAAGCAGGTTTTGGTAATGAAATCCCATGGGAAAAGCAGGTTTTGTGCCCCAAATCCCATGGGAAAAGCAGGTTTTGGGCTCCAAATCCCATGGGAGGTTCTGGGCCCCACCTGAGCACCCCAAATGTCTCGGGGCACTGGATGGGATCCATCCTCTGTCCCCAACACGTCCCTGTCCCCATTCCAGGCTGGACCCCGACTCTCAGCCCGCTCCCGCTCCCGCTCCCGCCCCGTTATCCCCCGGGAAATGCTCCCGCACCTTCATCTCCTTCAGCGACGACGCCACCTTYGAGCGCTGCTTCCCCAAATCCAAACCCCCGCGGCTGCCGGTGCGGGAGCTGTGCCCCGTCACCCACAAACCGGCCCTRTACCGCGACCCCATAACCGACATCCCCTACTCCAACGCCCGCGCCTTCCGCATCATCCGCGAGGCTTACCGAAAATATGTCACTGCCCACGGGCTGCCCAGCGCCGCCGCTGCCGCCATGGCCACCGGCACCGACAGCCCGGGACCGCGGCCCGGCCGCCAGAAAATCGTCATCAAACAGAGCGTGCCCGCCTCATAAAGGTTGGGGTTTGGGATTTTGGGATATGGGGTTTTGGGGTGGATGGGAGCAGTGGTTTTGTTGAGGAGACCCCACCAAAAATGATATCAAATTGTCATCAAACAGAGTGTGCCCACATCCTAAAGGTTGGAGTGTGGGGTTTGGCATATGGGATATTGGGATATGGGATTTGGGATCAACCGCAAATACGTGACTGACCATGGGCTGCCCAGCGCCGCCGCCAGAAAATCGTCATCAAATAGAGCGTGCCCGCATCCTAAAGATTGGGGTGTGGGATTTTGGGATATCGGGGTTTTGGGGTGGATGGGAGCGATGGTTTTCTTGAGGAGACCCCACCAAAAATGACACAAAATTGTCATCAAACAGAGCGTGCCCACTTCCTAAAGGTTGGGGTGTGGGATTTTGGGATATCGGGGTTTTGGGGTGGATGGGAGTGATGGTTTTGTTGAGGAGACTTCACCAAAAATGATACCAAATCGTCGTCAAACAGAGCATGCCCAGTGCCTGAAATCTGGGATTTTGGGATATTGGGGTGTCAGGACACTGGGGTCTTGGGATTTGGCATTGTGGGATTTGGGGTATTGGGATATGGGATTTGGGATCAACCGCAAATACGTGACAGCCCACGGGCTGCCCAGTGCTGCTGCTGCCGCCATGGCCACCGGCACCGACAGCCCGGGACCGCGGCCTGGCCGCCAGAAAATCATCATCAAACAGAGCGTGCCCGCCTCATAAAGGTTGGGGTTTGGGATTTGGGGTATTGGGATATGGGATTTGGGGTATTGGGATATGGGATTTGGGATATGGGATATGGGATATGGGATTTGGGATATGGGATATGGGATTTGGGATCAACCGCAAATACGTGACAGCCCACGGGCTGCTCGGCCCAGCCGCCAGAAAATCGTCATCAAACAGAGCGTGCCCGCCTCATAAAGGGTGTGGGATTTTGGGACGTCGGGGTTTTGGGGTGGATGGGAGCGATGGTTTTGTTGAGGAGACCCCCCCAAAAATGATACCAAATCGTCATCAAACAGAGCGTGCCTGCCTCCTAAAGGCTGGGGTGTGGGATTTTGGGATATTGGGATTTGGGATTTGGGGTGGATGGGTGTGATGGTTTTGTTGAGGAGATCCCATTGAGGACACAAAAAAAATTGTCATCAAACAGAGCGTGCCCACCTCCTAAAGGTTGGGGTGTGGGATTTTGGGATATGGGATTTGGGGTGGATGGGAGTGGTGGTTTTGTTAAGAAGACCGCACCAAAAGTGACACAAAATCGTTATCGAACAGAAAGTGCCCAATTCCTAAAGGTTGGGGTGTGGGATTTTGGGATATTGGGATTTTGGGATATTGGGATATGGGAGCAACCAGACCCCGAGCCCTCTGGACCTCAGCAAAAAATCATCATCAAACAAAGCGTTCCCAGTGCCTGAAATCATTGGGGTGTTGGGATTTGGGATATTGGGATGTTGGGATGCTGGGATATGGGATCACCCCAAGTGCCGGTTTTTTGTGGGGTCAGTGTTCACCGAGGGTGTTGGATTAAGGAATAAAGCAGAGTTAGGGTTGGTTTGTTTGGGGTGGTGGGAGATCCCACAAAAATATGGGGTGGGAGCCCCTTTTCCAGAAGATCCTAAAAATCACGGTGGGAACACCTTTTTCCAGGACATGGTACAATAAATAAAGCGGTTTTCCAGAAATCCTACAATAAATATGGGGTGGGGACACCTTTTCCAAGAGATCCTGTGGAAATTTTGGGGTGGGAGCCCCTTTTTCAGGAGATCCTACAATAAACAAAGTGGTTTGTGGAACCCTTTTCCCAAAATCCTACAATAAATAGAGGGATTGGCACCTCTTTTCCAGAGATCCTACAATAAATATGGGGTGGAACCCTTTTTTTTCCCAGGAGACCTTACAATAAATAAATGATTTATGAGATCAC